ATTATAGCACTTTGGGAAGCTGAAGGGAGAGGATCTCTTCCAGGATTTTGAGCATGCCACTGCACTCCAGCTAGTAAAAAAAAAAAAAAACTCAAAAAACTACAAAGACATAATTTCCAGAATCTATGGGGTATATCGGATAGTACTTTACAACTTTGTATTCTGTGGTAGGCAGAATAATGACTTTCCAAAGATGTCCACGCCCTAATTCTTACATAAGAAAAGGAATCCATTTTGGACTTCTGACCTTCAGAACTATAAATAACAAATTTGTGTTGTCTTAAGTCACTAAATTTGGGATAACTTGGCTCCGTGCCCATAGCTCAGTGGTTAGGGCACTGGCCACATACACTGAGGCTGGCAGGTTCAAACCTGGCCTGGGCCTGCGAAACAATAAAGACAACTACAACAACAACAACAAAAACCAGCCGGGCATTGTGGCGGGTGCCTATAGTCCCAGCTACTTGGGAGGCTGAGGCAAGAGAATCGCTTAAGCCCAAGAATTGGAGGTTGCTGTGAGCTGTGATGTCACAGCACTCTACCGAGGGCAACATAGTGAGACTCTGTCATAAATAAATAAATAAAAATAAATAAATAAATTTGGGGTAACTAGTTATAGCAGCCGTAGGGAACTATATTCTAACTATTTTTAGCCATGTTTATAATTTGGGTTTTTTTAATATAGATAAAACAAATTAGAAGGATTCTAGGAACATAGTAGCTTATTCTGTCTTCTTTCCACTCCCAAACTCCTTGGCTGTCAGGTATACAAATTAGAGTGACGACGACATATAACTTAACAACCAGCAAAATGGCAAAAATAAATAAATAAAGATTAGCACTTAGTAATGGAAAAGATGGAGAGGAGGGAGAAGATTTTCATATGTTGCTGGTGGAAAACAATCTGGCGTCATCTATTTAAATTAAAAACATCTTTCCAACCAGCAATCTCACTTCCAGAAATCCATCCTACAGAAGAAGAGAGAGAAAAAAAAAGCATGATTATTAATGACATTTTTAAATATATTTGTGGCAGCATAGATTATAGTGGGGGAAAATAGAAACCAAGTACCCATCCATAGAATAATGCTGAATGAATTATGGTACTTCCATGCCATGAACTATTATGTGCCATTAAAAAGAATTAGAAAAAGGAAAAAAAAAAAAGAATTAGAGGGCCAGGTGGTGGCTCATGCCTGTAACCTTACCACTTTGGGAGGCTGAGGTGGGAGGATTACTTGAGCCCAGGACTGTAAGACCAGTCTGGGTAACATAGTGAGACTCTGTCTCTGCAAAAAATAAAAATAAATGAAAAGAATTAGAGAATGAAGTTGGACCTCTGCCTCATAGAATATGCAAAAATTAATTTAAAGTGGATTAAGAACTAAAACTAAAAAACTCTTAGAAGAAAAAAAAATAGGCATGAATTTTCGTGACCTTGGACTAGGTAGTGGTTTCTTAGATATGACACAAAAAATATAAGCAACAAAGGAAAAATATAGATAAGTTGGACTTCATAAAAATTAAATGTTCGTGCTTCAAAGAACGAAAGGTAAAAAGATAGCCCACAGAATGGAAGAAAATATTTTCAAGTAAATATATAAGGAGGCCAGGTGTGGTGGCTCACGCCTGTAGTCCCGGCACTCTGGGAGGCCGAGGCAGGTAGATTGCGGGAGCTCAGGAGTTCAAGACCACCCTGAGCAAGAGTGAGACCCCATCTCTACAAAATAGCCAGGCATTGTCGTAGGCGCCTGTAGTCCCAGCTACTTGGGAGGCTGAGGCAAGAGAATTGCTTGAGCCCAAGGGTTTGAGGTTGCTGTGAGCTATGACAGCACAGCACTCTACTGAGGGTGACAAAGTGAGACTGTCTTTACAAAAAAGGAGGCAGGGAGCAAAGGATCTAAGTAGACAGTGCTTCAAAGAAGATGTACCAATGGCCGATAAACATATAAAAAGATGGTCAATATCATTAGGGAAATATAAATCAAAACCACAGTGCAGTTTTGTGCTTTTGATATGATTTGCAGCCACACTCTACGAGGCTACAATGAAAAAGACAATAGCAAGTGTTAGAGAGGATGTAGAGATGGCCGGGCGAGGTGGCTCACACCTGTAATTCCTGCATTGCTCTATGCATTGCTGGTAGGAATGTAAAATGGTGCAACAGGCAACTCCTCAAAAAGTAAATATATTTGTGGCAGCATAGATATAGTGAGCGAAAATAGAAACCAAGTACCCATCCATAGAATAGCAATTTCACTCTGCTATATACCCAAGAGAATTTAAAATATATGTCCATACAGCATTATTCATAGTCGCCAAAAAGTGAAAACAATCCAAATGTCTATCAGACAAAATGTTACTGTATATTCATTTGTTTTGTTTTGTTTACACTCCAGGCTGGAGTGCAGTGGTGCAATCTATCTTAGGTCATTGCGACCTTATACTCCTGGGCTCAAGCAATCCTACCTCAGCCTCCCAAAGTGCTGAGATGACAGGTGTGAGCCAGTAGATTCATGGTTGCCAAGGGCTGCATGAATGGTGAGTCAATAATGATGTGTATGGAGTTTCTTCTGGGGGTCATGAAATAGTCTGGGATTAGACAGTGGTGATATTTGCACAAGCTTGTGAAGATATTAAAAAATGCTGCATTTTATATTGTAAAAGGTTGAAGTTTTTGCTATCTGAATTAACTCTTTTTTTTTTTTTTTTTTGAGACAGGAGCCTCAAGCTGTCCCCATGGATAGAGTGCCATGGCATCACAGCTCACAGCAACCTCTAACTCCTGGGCTCAAGAGAGTCTCCTGCCTCAGCCTCCCAAGTAGCTGGGACCACAGGCTCCCACCACAACGCACGGCTATTTTTTGGTTGCAGCTGTCATTGTTGTTTGGCAGGTCTGGGCTGGATTCAAACCTGCCATCTTGGGTGTACGTGGCTGGCAACTTAGCCACTTGAGCCACAGGCGCCAAGCCCTGAATTAACTCTTAAAAAAAAAAATTGAAACTTTGTCAGATGATTTACAGGGCAACTAAAACGATTTGTCATTCAGTCAGGTCAGAAGCCAAGAATTTAATTTTATTTTAGCTCTCTTTATATAACTAGTTTTTCCATTTAGGGTTTCCTTAATTTTTTACTTTAAAAAATGAAGTCAATATAAATAATATTCAGCAAATAGTAATATGCATAGCTGACTCTGAAGTTTGGGGGAGTTTTAGTGTCCTATTTAGCTTTTTTTTTTTTTTTTTGGAGACAGTGTCACTATGTCACCCTCAGTAGAGTGCTGTAACAACACAGCTCACAGCAACCTCAAACTCTTGGTCTTAAGCGATTCTCTTGCCTCAGCCTCCCCGGTAGCTGGGACTACAGGTGGCCACCACAACACCCAGCTATTTTTTAAAGATGGAGCCTCACTCTTGCTCAGGCTGGTCTCAAATTCATGACCTCAAGAGATCCACCCTCCTCAGCCTCCCAGAGTGCTGAAATTACAGGCGTGAGCCATCTCACCCAGCCTTCTATTTAGCATTTTTCAAACCCAATAATACTGCTGAAACAAGCTCAAGCTATCCACCCTCCTTGGCCTCCCAGAGTGCTAGGATTAGCCCAGCCACCAAGCTGGGCGGGTTCCTTCTGTATCTAAAGCTATTGGCAGGATGCAATGGCTCCCAGCCTGTATAATCTTAGCACTCTGGGATGCTGAGATGGGAGGATCCTATGAGCTCAGGAATCTGAGACCAGTCTGAGCAAGAGGGAGACTCCCATCTATACCAAAAATAGAAAAATTAGCTGGACATTGTGGCAGGTGCCTGTAGTCATGCTATGTGGGAAACTGATGCAGGAGGATGGCTTGAGGCCTGGTTTGAGATCGCTGTGATCTAGGCTTGACACCATGGCACTGTAGCCTGGGCAAGCATGAGACTCTGTCCCCAAAAAAGAAAAAGAGCTATGATCCCCACTGGCTCTCCTTATAGCCAACGTTCCTAAACTGGACAATGGTGTCCAATCTGACACCAATTTTGGGACACTGTGCAGAGCTCCAAAAGCATACACTTTGCACTAGTAACTGTTGTGATTTAAGAATGAGATAGAAATTATCACATCACTTTTGCCCTTGTAATTTTCAAATGGCTACTAAAGTTATTAGAACCTAACTACTTAATTTTTTGGCTAAGAGACAATGTGAAAAAATTACTAAGACTCTAAAGATGGCTTAAACCAGACCTGAGAACCTCTGGGTCATCAACTTCCCTATGTCACATACACCCCAAACTTGCAATCATTCTTCACTCAGATTGGGGGTGTATATGTAGGAATACCTGCTGATGGGAAATGTCTTTCCTAAGTGTGTGTCTTAAGGTAACAAATCAAATGTAAGCAGAACAGCAACTGGACTATCTTCCTAGTCCAATGAGGAGTCATGAAGTAGCTAGAAAAGATTACACTTCCCTTCCCAGCTCCCCAGGGTCACTTTGTAAACTATGAAAATGGCAATGAATTACCAAAGCCATTTAATACATACGTATAGTCAGGACAGAGACTTCAGCACCATCTACTATCCCCAACCAGAGCTTTTAGTAGTAAATCACACTACTCCTGATTGCTCCTCTCAAATTTTCTACCCCAAAAAGGAGCTTCCAGTAACTCGGACTCCACCTAGTAGTTACTGTCCTAAATACACAGTAGTATAGTAGGACTACATAAATCCAAGGCATTTCACCATGATTGTTATGGCATTAAATATGGACATCTAGAAGTGTTTCCATGGTTACAATAGCAAAACTACATGTAGAATTAACAAATAATGGATTTTACATTTGTAATCATTCCCATCCACAGCAGTTTGGAAAAGAACTGAAAATCAAATATCTAGGGGTTCTACTCTTGAAATGAGACATAAACTAATCAGAATACATTTTTAAAATATTTAAACCAAACTCTCACACGCCGTGTATCATAAATGTATGGCATTCTCACACGTACTTAAAAAAGAACAAAGAAAAGGATTTGCCCATAATCAAAACTTTATTGAAAAATTGACATCAAAATAGGAGATTGCTGTTGTATACCTTATAAAACCAAATTTAATTCTCTTGGTAGATTAACTAGAATTATTGAACTTATGATAAGGCTTTCTGTGAGATAACACAAATTCAGAAAGTTGTGTAGATCATTAGTGTTGCTTTCTTCTAAATGAACAGCCTGCAAAGGAATCATAAGAGCATATTAAACAGAAGTACATTCTATCTTCGGTATAATTTTACCAGAGTGACAAAACGTACTTTTTAGCATTATTAATTTATTAAATATCAATAACACAAATTTAGAAATATTCACACATGCATCTATCCTTTTTTTTTGAGACAGAGCCTCAAGCTATCCCCCTGGGTAGAGTGCTGTGGCATCACAGCTCACAGCAACCTCCAACTCCTCGGCTCAAGCGAGTCTCCTGCCTCAGCTTCCCAAGTAGCTGGGACTATAGGCACCCGCCACAACACCCGGCTGTTTTTTGGTTGCAGCCCTCATTGTTGTTTAGCGGGCCTGGGCTGGATTCGAACCCGCCACCTTAGGTGTATGTGGCTGGCGCCTTAGCCACTTGAGCCACAGGCGCCAAGCCATTTATCCTTTTATACTATAATTCATTCTGATACAACTATAACTATCATTTTTGTTTTTCAAATGCTTTCTATTTAAGGCAACCGGCCTGAATTCAACAGGTAAAACTGTCTTATGCAAGCTGTCACTAGATGCAATCTTAATTTTTAGGAACTATTCTGAATAATTTTCCCAAGAAAATAATTTGATTAGTATCTTTGGATACTCTGGTACACATGTACCCTTTGAGCCATCTGTGAGTATATGGGCAAAAATTCCCCAAGTCATGATATGACATAAGTTTCAGAAATCTTACAAGTACACCTTAGGAGCAACACTACTCTTAAAATATATGCTGACTTCTTACTTACATCTCACCAAGTCACACTAAATAGATCTTTGCTTTGCTGCCAATCCACTTGTAACTTGTAATTCTTCCAGTGAGAACATGGAATGTAAAGCACGCCAACATCTCACAAGCAAAATTTCAAGTATCCCTATGAAACTGTAAATGTACAAGTATCACTGAGGCAAATTTTATTTCTTATTGCACTAAAGTGAAAGAGGAATTAAAATTCGATTTTTACATTAAGAATTAAGTAGTTGCTCATTAAAATAAAATCTCTGGCATTTTAATTTATACCTTAGGTATCTGTAGTTTAGCCAGTAATAATAAAAAACTATCTTAAGTCACAGGTACCAAATGCACATGAAACAAAATCTTACAGAAGAAATATTAAAATTCTACAGTTTTAAAAATCCCTGTGTCTTATTATATGTAGTTATTCTTTGCTTCCGTTCTGATTTATTCTGAATTTATTCCAAGTTAAACAAATTAAGTGAATCAACACAATAGAACTGGGAAACTAAGAAAATAATGACTGTCAAGAGTTTAAATTTATCGGCTCCCTGCCCATAGCACAGTGGTTACAGTGCCAGCCACATACACTGAGGCTACTGGGTTTGAAACCAGGTAGGCCAGCTAAACAACAATGATAACTGCAACAAAAAATAGCCGGGCATTGTGGCAGGCGCCTGTAGTTCCAGCTACTTAGCAGGCTGAGGCAAGAGAATCGCTTAAGCCCAAGAGTTAGAAGTTGCTGTGAGCTGTGATGCCATAGCAGTCTACCAAGTGCGATATAGTGAGACTCTGTCTCAAAAAAAAAAAAGTTTAAATTTATCCATAGAACTTTCCATATTGAAAGAGCACACAATGAAATGTATAAATTATTTTGGTAATCATGAATTTAAAATTTCTTTCAACTATTTTAGTAAAGACGGGAGACATTTATAATCCTAAAATCTCATCCCTGGTTAGAAAATGCCAATTGACATACCTTCTGTAAGTCTGGCCTTTCCTCCTGTAGGTTGGCACAAGACTGTTGAACAACCCACACAAAGAACCACTGTCTGAGCATGGCTGAAAACTGTGGTAATCTTGTAGCAACCTAAAAGGGGAGAGGGGAGAATGTTAAAAGTGAAAAGCAGAAGAAAATATAGTACCTGTTCAACATACTTCTAGTGATATATAGAAATACGTGCTGTGTAACAGCAAGCCACATATGTAACATAAACTTTTCTACATAAAAAAACTTTTTTGAGACAGTGTCACTATGTCACCCTCAGTAGAATGCTGTGCCGTCACAGCTCATAGCAACCTCAAACTCTTGGGCTTAAGTGATTCTCTTGCCTCAGCCTCCCAAGTAGCTGGGACTATAGGCACCCACCACAATGCCTGGCTATATTTGGCTGCACTTGTCATTGTTGTTTAGCAGGCCCGGGTGGGCTCAAACCTACCAGCCTCTGTGTATGTGGCCAGTGCCCTACTCACTGAGCAATGGGCACTGAGCCATAAAATTTTTTTAAAGTGAAATTAATGTTTTTATTGAACTATTTCCAAAATATTATCATTTCAACATAAATTAATATGGTTTTTATTTTGTGCTACATCTTCAAAATCCAGTATGTATTTTGCACTTAAAGAACATCTCCATTTTTACTATCCACATTTCAAGTGCTCATGGCCACTTATGGCCAATGGCCACCATACTGGGCAGCAGAGCTTTAGACTGAAGAATCAACAGACTTTGAAAATGTTCCTATGCCTGTAATCCTAGTACTTTGGGAGGCCAAGGCAGGTTAGAGACCAGCCTGGGCAAGAGCTAGACCCCCTCTCTAAAAGCCAGGCATTGTGGCAAGCACCTGTAGTCCTAGCTACTTGAGAGGCTGAGGGAAGAGAATCGCTTAAACCCAAGAGTTTGAGGTTGCCGTGAGCTGTGACACCAGAGCACTCTACCAAGGGCAACTGAGTAAGACTCTGTCTCAGAAAAAAAAGAAAAAAAAAAAAAAAGAAAATGTCCCTTACATTTCCAATTCTGTATTCCCACTTCCACTCAACAGAGAGCCCTAATGTTTCTAAATATGCATGCCCCACTAACAATCCTTACAGAAATTTTCCTTAGAAAGGAATTAAGATTTGAAATCTTACCTGGACATTTTACATCCATAAAATAAGAGTTTGGACTTTGAACTAGCCGTTTCTTTTTATGTTTTTTCTTTTCCTCTTCCAAGGACGGATGTAATAAATCTCTTGCCAACTGAATAAAACAAACAAATGATCACTACTACAGTTAAATCACAATGCTGACAGATTTAACATGCGTGAAATGTACATGCAAAAGTAGGAATAACGGTCGAACTTCTGCGGAACAATATGTCAGACGTTAGTTACTTTTTAAAGCCTGTTAATGACTTTGACTAATACTTTGTAATAATGCTCGCGTTCTCCAAGTCCCTATAAAAGCGCTTTATGACGATCAGGAAATATGGTAAGCTTAGCTAACCCCTTCCTTCTTAACTCGGCAGAGTAACAGTCTTCTGTGAAAACAAAACTGTGGCTCTAAGAACAACTCGGACCCTGGACTCGAGAGTCGAAACTGCCAAAGGAGACCAGAGAGAACGCCAACGCCTGGGGTCAACATCTGATCTGATACGAACTTGCGAGGCTGAGGGGTGACGATCCTTGATGGCATTTATATACTATAGAAAGATCGCAGCCCACTATAAACTAACTTTCCCAGGGAGCTGCTTCCCTGGAGCCACCGCGTCCAAACCGCAGCCCACGCCCGTGCAAGGCCGGCCACGCCGCGCTGCCCGGGCAGGTCCCGACATGCCCGCCACTCGGGAAGCTGCACGGTACCCGCCGCCTCCCCACGTTCGGCAGGGAACGCCGCAGGCCTGGGGAGCCGTCGGGCTCGTCGCCTCCGCACCCCTCGGCAGACAGAGAAGCCCGAAACAAACCCGGAGGCCGAAGCCAACAACTCACAGGCATCTTGACCGCTCCCCAAGGCCAGCCGGTCCGCACCTCTCAGACGCCACTCCTGGCTGGCAGCACGCGAGCTGCGCTCGGCGTCAACTTCCGGGATAGAGGAGGCGGGCGGAGCGGCGCGCAGCGGCGGGCGGGCTGTCCGCTCTAGGCGCTCCTCTCGGTGGTGGGGACGCCGCTCTCGGTGGTGTGGACGCTCCGGCCGGGTCTGCGGTCCGGGGCGACGGTCGGCGCATCCCGGGGTCCCAAGCCGGGTGAACCTAACGGCTTCTCTCTGGGGCCTCTGGCTGGGCCAGCCTCTGGAGGTTGGGTGGCGCGCTGCTGAGCCCGAGGCGACCGATCCCCCGCAGCGGTCTCTGCCGCGGCCCCCTGGAACCGGGCGGGCGGCTCACCCCTCGCCCGGCCACGGAGCTAACCATCCGCTCTCGGCTAGCTCTGCGGGTGGGCTCACCCGGTGACGCGACTGTTCTCTGTTCTTTTGTGCATTAAAAACACAATATGATTAGCCACTGATACGTGCCATCGAGGTTATGAGAGGCCGGTATCCTCGTGGATTCCCCCCTCCAAGTTGCAGGTTTCTGAGTGCTTTGCGTGGTGAGGCTGTGCCACAGGTTTGCTTTGTCCTGAAAAAGTTCTTAAAGAGCGGGGATTCGCGACTGGGTTTAGTCGGAGGCTCTTTCCTGTCCTGCGAGGATTACCTGTACTTTCCAGAGCCAACAAGTGGGACCTGAGAAAGTGGCGGGTGCTGCTGACTGCCAGACCTGAAATATTTTGATCAGGGGTAAGCATGCATGACCGAGACCCCAGAAGCCAGGGAGACCCTTGACCAGAACATGTTTAACTAGATGTTCTTCTTCTTCTTCTTCTTCTTTTTTTTAGACAGAGCCTCAAGCTATCCCCCTGGGTAGAGTGCTATGGCATCACAGCTCACAGCAACCTCCAACTCCTGAGCTCAAGCGAGTCTCCTGCCTCAGCCTCCCAAGTAGCTGGGACTACAGGTGCCCGCCACAACACCTGGCCATTTCTTGGTTGCAGCCGTCATTGTTGGTTTTGGCTGGCTCGGGCTGGATTCGAACCCGCCACCTTAGGTGTACGTGGCTGGCGCCCTGGCGCTACAGGTGCCGAGCCTAACTAGATGTTCTTATTCTATTTCTCTTGGCAAAAAATACGTGTATAATATACATCTTGAAAAATGCAGGACAAGAAGAAAATTTAAATTACCATCCAGAGATAAACATCACTAACTTTTGACCTATGTCCTTTTTTTTTTGGTGAGGGCCCAGATTTGAACCTGCCACCTCCGGCATATGGGGCCAGTGCCCTACCCTTCTGAGCCACAGGCATTTCCCAGATCTACGTCCTTCTAAACATTTTTTACTCACTTGCACAAAGTTTCCTTTGGGTTTTGGTTTTACATAATTGGGATCACTTGTACCCAATCTTTTTTAGACTTGAGTTTTCCCCTTCCGCTTACTATATAATTAATGAGCGTTGCTCTCTGTTACTACGTATTTTCTTACATTATGATTGTTAATGGACACATAGCATCTATCCTAATATCCTATTTTAGCCAAATAATAAAATACTAAATACCTAAATACTAAATTGGATATGGGCTAAGGATTTTTAATGTTAGATGTTTAATATATTAATATCAATAAATATTATTTTCATGCAGATAAATATGTAGGATACTACAATTGTATAGGCAGAATAATGGCCCCTGAAGATATCAATGTCCTAATCCCCAGGACCTGTAGTTACTTGACAAGTGGAATTAAGGTTGCTAATTAGCTGACTTTAATCTAGGAAGATTATCCTGGATTATTTTCGTGAGCTCAATGTAATCACAAGGGTCCTCACAAGTGGAAGAGGAAGACAGAAGGTCAGAGAACAAGATGCAATGAGGGAAGAACGTCTGAGAGATGCTGTGTTGCTGGCTTCGAAGATGTGAGAAGACCATAAGCCCAAAAGTGCCAGAAGTCCAGGCAAGAAAAAGGCCTCCCTCCTAGAGCCTCCAGCAAGAAATACGATCCTGCCAACACCTCAATTGTGTGGGTCAGACTTCTGAAATACAGAACTGTAAGATAAGAAATAAGTGTTGTAAGCCATTAGTTTTATGGCAATTTGTTACAGCAACATAAGAATACAATAGTGAAGCCCAAGTGCCCACCACACAACTGTTATCAAAGCCTAACATTCAATACTCTGTTCTCCCACACCATGGTAAACATTGTTGTAGATTAGGTTAGGGTACATTCTTGGTTGTTTCCTTAGGATAAATTCTTAGAGGAGGATTGCTGTGTCAAAAGTTATGTACATTCTAGGTTTAACTCTGCCAAGTTACCAAAAAAGCAAAACCAATGTACGTCCCAGATGTAAAATGTATAAGTATCCTATCCCCCTTTCTTTGCACCCATGACAGTACTATTATGGTTTTCCTATCTCAGTCCAGAAAAACTATTATTTGAAAGTAGGATTTTATCATATTTCACTGTTGTTTCAATTCATATTTTTCACATATTTATTGGTCCTTAGCCCTTTTCTATTGGAATAGTCACCTACTTCTTTTTTATCCTCCTGTATCAAGGATATTAACCATTAATCATATAGTATGTTATAAATATTTTTCCAACTTGTTTCTTATTAATTTTATTTTTTGATGATTTTTAATCATATAGGAATTTTTAATATCATATATTCCCATGCATACACATACATACATATGCATTCCAAATCTATTGCTTTCTTTTTGCTATTGCGCTTAGACAAGGCTTGATCACCTTAGGCTCAACCAAATATTTCCTGTGCTCTCGTCTAATTCTTTTGTTGTGATCCTTGTTCTTTAACCTTTAAATTAACCTGGAATTTATTCTGGCATTTAATGTGTTGTAGATCTCAGAACAATTTCTAATGATCAAACCTGGGTAGAGCTTCAGTTCACAGTACAGTGTCAAAACCTCACTCAGAGGCAGCATGAGAAATAAAACTACCAAAGTCAAGAAGACCTGGTGTCTACATAGAACTCTGATTCCTCTTCAAAGCCCAATTTCTCCTAAAATGTCCTCCAGTCCCTACACTAATGGCAGATGAAGGGGCATGCAGAGTCTCTCTGCCTGGGCAGCCTCCTCTCTAGGATCCTGCAAAAGGCACTCCCACCTGCTTTTAAAGAGTTGTGAAGTACCAGTCAAAATTCTATTCTAGAACTCTGCAGCTGTTCTATCAGGCCAGGTCTGAGAAGGTGCCACTGAAAGCTCAATTTGGCACCTGGCTCCCTTCACCTCAGCAGTGTGTACCCATCTCTACTTCCCTCTCTCCCTTTACCAACTTCAGACACTGGGAAAACTCACAGGTGTTCAGACAGGTTAAGCCAGAAACCCCACTGGTGCTGAATTTCAGGCACCCAGGGGGGGTTGTAAATAATCAGATCCCTGCCTTTCCTCTCGGCTGAAGTTCTTCAGGCCTGTGCTTTTCTTTTCCCAGAAAGATGATCAGGAGGTTTAGTTTTGTTTTGTTTTTAGGAAATTCAGAGCATGAGGTGGGGGCCCTAAAGAGAACTTTTCATGCCTCTGCCTTTCTAATATTTTTTTCTGAGAAGCTCAGAGAACTCTGCAAACTATAAGGCTGCATTCTTTTTCTCTTCCTTCTACTGCCCACATGTTGGCAGGTATCAAAGTGCTTGTGGCTCATACTCTATACACTCCTGAAATCAGAAGCCGCTCCTGAAAGTCCGCCTCTCTCCTGCATGTCAGTTCCCCAACAGGATCATGGCCATTGTCCCCGAAGTGCCAATCGTAATGGTTGCAACCCATTGTTAATTCATGAGGATGCTGACCCTCTCAGGCAAGCTCCCATCAGTAAGGGGTAAGTAAGACTCAGAAGCACACTCTGGTGCCAGTTTCCTCCCCTTCCCTCCCCTTCTGTTCCCTTTCCTTTCCTTATCTCACTATCATCTCGCTTTGTTGGTTTCCATTAGTCCTGCCTCAACGTGGTAAATAGTCCCTTCACGTAACTCTCTACCGGCCACTGTTTACCTGCACGGCCATTTCATCCAAGAAGCTGCTGGCCCTAGCACGGCTGGATGACCCAACATGACAACATCTGGAGATTGTTTACTCACTTCCAAGGCCTCCTGTCGTAGATAAGTTGAGGGACTGGACTCCATAGTACCAGTCAAGGACCCGGGGCACTCTGCACCCAGTGAAGTGTTGACTAACTATGAATTTAGTCTAGAATAGAAATGCTTTGAAGATATAACCACTTTAAGATAGGAGGATTGGGCTTGGCGCCTGTAGCTCAAGAGGCTAAGGCGCCAGCCACATACACCTAAGGTGGCAGGTTCGAATCCCCAGCCCGGGCCGCCAAACAACAATGATGGCTGCAACCAAAAAATAGCCGGGCGTTGTGGCGGGCGCCTGTAGTCCCAGCTACTTGGGAGGCTGAGGTGGGAGACTCGCTTGAGCCCAGGAGTTGGAGGTTGCTGTGAGCTGTGATGTCATGGCACTCTACCCAGGGGGATAGCTTGAGGCTCTGTCTCAAAAAAAAAAAAAAGATAGGAGGATTGTGTAACTTTGTAACCTTTGAGGAGGAATCTGTTTAACATATACTATGATGAGTAATAACATTGCTGATGTTTACTTTTACTGTGAGAATAAAAAATAACAAAGGGAAAGAAGGGGCAGAACAGTTCTTTGAGGAGCTATCCTTGCTGTTCTCCAGAATCCCTGGCTTTTCTGTAAGTAAAAATGAAATTGTTACCTCTCATCCATTTCTCTGTTGATTGGCTTGGGTGACAGACAGATAGACTCCTAGGTCCAGCAATAATCATAGCTCACTACAGCCTCAAACTCCTAGACTCCAGTGATCCTCCTGCCTCAGCCTCCCAAGATGCAAGGACTATAGGTGGTCGCCACCGCACTCAGCTAATGTTTTGGATCATTTATAGAAATGGGGTCTCCCTCTTACTCAGGCTGATCTCAAACTCCTGGCCTCAAGCAAGCCTCCTACCTTAGCCTCCCATAGTTGATTTCCTTTATTTTTCTTTATTTTCCATAACAATCTGGTTCCTAACTGGGTCGGAGCCCCACTG